TGGACTTCACTATGGATCTGACTCATTCTCGGTAGTGCACAGTGGTTGATCAAGATTGCACATTTTGTTCCTTCCTGCACAGTACCAACCACTTCAGAGACAGTCCATCTCTTTTAGAACATGTCTTCTGGCTCCATGGACTTCCAACTGCCATTGTGTCAGATCGAGGCAATTTATTGCGCACTTCTGGCATGAGTTTTTTAAGCTCCTAAGCAAAGCACTTCTTATCTCATCAGCATACCATCCTCACACTATGGACAGACGGAATGGGCAAATCAGATCCCGGAGCAGGACCTCCCAGTTGTAGCGTTTGTCCCATAGATGCCTCCTGAAAAGTTCAATTCTGGGGTCCCTACTTGGGCCTGGGAGGAAGGTGGGGGTAGTGGCGGAGCTGGGAGAAGCCCAGAGAAGTAGCGAGTGACTCCCCCTAGAGCCCATCCTTTCCCTGTGCCTCCAGCTGGGGGCTCCAATGTCCAGGCAGCTCTGCTACTCAGCTCTGACCCCCACCCTCTGAGTCCACCTTGAACTCCTAGCACTTCCAGCCCCTGCACTCCCCTGCCCAGTTCTGGATTGCAAGTCTCCTGCACTGACCCACCTCTGAGCACCCCCGTCTCCTGCCGGAGTCCAGCACTGGCACCTGCTGGCTCAGAGAATGCTCTGCAGGGGAGGGAAAGGGGCCGTCTGGCAGGGGAGCACAGGTACCATAGCCACCGGCAAAGGCCTTCTGTTTGGCCCACCAGGAATCAGCTGTTCCTTCCTGTTCCAGCTGGGGGCTCCGCTGTAAAGGCGGCCCTGCTACCTGGCTCCAGCTGGCCCTGGGCTCCTTGTGCTCCCTGGCTGCGAGGCAGTCCCTTTCCCTCACCCAGCGGGGAGACTGGGTGGGGCCCGCAGAGGCGGGTCAGCGTGGGAACTGCTGTAGCTGGGAATGAGAAGGGGAGTGCAGGTGCTGGAGCCACCAGGAGCGGAGCTGGAGACAGGCAGCAGAGCTGTCCTTCCATCAGACCCCCATTGGGGAGCAGGACAGAGCAGCTGTCAAACAGGCCAACAGAAGGCCCTTGTGGACTGGACCAGGCTTTCAGGGGACTCTCTAGCTTCCTTGGGGCCTTCTGCTTTTGTCTGGGTTGCAGGTGCCTCGCGCTGCCATGAGTACCAGTGTTGCTTCTTAAATTGTCAACAGGATGACTGGGTCTCCCTGCTGCCTTTTGTAGAATTTGCCTATAACAATTCGGGCCACACCTCTATCCAACACAGCCTGGTTCTTTGCCAACTGTGGCTTCCACCCATGTTTCCACCCAGGGTTACCCATAGTTCCCTTGGTCCCTGCAGTGGCAGATCTGGTCACGCAGCAGGAACTCAGGGAGCAGCTGGAAGCTGCCAGAGACCTACACGTGCTGCCCAAGGGTGAGATTTCATGGCACTTGTAACAGCACGAGTTTGACCCTGGTGTCATGTCCAAATTCTAGGAAGGTAATTATGTTCTTCCGACCTACATTTCCCTGAGCTTCTGCTTGGCAGTGCTATCTCTGACTCCCAGGGCCTCTTTGCAGTGCATTGTTAGATGGACTTTCTGCCCAGAGGTGGCTGCACCCCCCCCGGTCCCCCTGCACTAGAGGACGGCTGCACTGGCAGATGGCAATGCCCTGGGGATTGGGCCCAAGCCAGGGGAGTGAAGGCTGCTCAGAGTGGCCATTACTAAAAACCTGTTTGCAATTACCCAGAGTTTTCAGAAATCTTCGCCTTTTTGGTTGAAATTTTCCAGGCTCAGCCTGTGTCTGAGATCCAAAATGTTTGGAAAGTGTCTGCAAAAGTAGTTCAGACGTTGCAGAGAATGAGGGAAAATGCACTCCCCTGCGGTGGAAACATTGTACGTTGATTTTAACCAGCTTTGCTGTAGAAATGGGTGGGAGTGCACCGACTGGGGGCCCTGGCCGAGCAGCAGAGGAGGGGAGGGGGAGGGGTGGCGAGAGACCGGGCTGAGCAGAATGGAAGGAGGAGGGGGGTGAGGGGCTAGAGTGCTCCCATTCGAGTTGGGTTTTTGTCATGGATTCGCACATTCCAAGGCCAGAAGTGCCCACCCTGCTCTAGTCTGACCTCCTGGGTTTACAGGGCAGAGAACCCACCCAGGGATTCTAGCCCAATAACTTCTAGTTGAACCAGAGCAGATCTTTAGAAAGAGACCCCCAGTCCTGACTGAAGGGCTCCCAGTTATAGACAATCCCCCATGTCCCAATCTCCCAGAGGCTACTTCCCCTCACTGTTAAAAATCTGTGCCGTGTTTCTAGTCTGAATTTGCCTAGCATTCGCTCCCAGCCGGCGGATCCCATTCTGCCTTGTCCGCCGGATTAACGAGCTCCTATGCCAGCTCTTGTCTCCCTGTGTGAACTGGCCACTTGACGGATCTCCGAGCATTTGGCAATCACGCAGTGCAGTGCCCATCGCATAGATTTCTCATTGATCTGGTTCTGTGCCCTTTACCGGTGGCTGCTTTGTGGGATAGCTAAGGAAAGAGCACATTCACCTCCTTGGTTCCTTGGATGATGGGCAAGGCGCCATTTCCATCCAGGTCGGGGAACACCTTGGTCTGGTTAAAGGGATCTTCCCTCTGCTTGCGATGCTGCATTTTCCCCTTCCTGCCCCAAAATGCCCCCTTGGCCTAGGGCATGAGCCAGAGGCTGAGAGCACTTGTATAGGGAGGATCTCAAAGCACTTTACAACCACTATTGCATGGTGCCTTATCATGCCCTGCAGGGACTTTGCCCCAGTCTGCAGATGGCGATGCTGAGAGACAGAGCAGCGATGAGACCAGTAGCATAAACCTGGGTAAACAGTTTATCCGCTTCTTTTCTTGGAAAGGGGAGTTTAGTTTAGGTTTATTTACCCACTTTTTTTTTCTTTTTTACCACTCCACCACTGGATGAGACCCCTCTAAGGTCACAGAGTCAGTGTTGGGCCCAGGCTCAGCCCCTGATCCCCAGCGCTGCGCTTTGACCACCAGACCGTCCATCTCGGAACATGCTCTGGAAGAGTCGGACACATGCCGTTTCTGCCACGTCCCTGCCTGTCTGGTGTACGCTGAGGAGCGCACGCCCACGTGTATCCCGAGGGGCGGTCAGAATCGCTCGATGATCTACCGTGTCAATAAAATGAGAGACTGAGCCAAGAGCTGTGACTAGGGACGGAAGGTAACGCAGGCTCACGGTGCTCTGGCAGAGCCTGACCTGAGTGCTGACCTCAGTGGCTGCAATCTCCATTGAGCTCCTGCAGGCATGAGGGGGTCAGGCTTCCCCTTGGGGTCACTGGCAAGAGGCTGATTGGCACTCCCCAGTGCATGGCTGGGCCCATCTAGGGGATGGTGGGAGGAGCAGAGGCTGAGGTCAGGCGCGCACACGCGTTGATATGGCCACGCTGAGTGCAGTTTTCCCATGGAGATGCCAGGGGCCAGGGCAGTAGAGCAGGGGGCTCAGAACCTGCTCCCCACTCAGGGGCATGGGTACAGCAGTGAGGACATGGTGGCCGGGCAGGCTCCCAGACCGCACTCCAGCAGGACCAGTTCTTTGCCACTTTTCCTTTTCAGGCAGGAAGATAAATGCTGACCTGCAGGGAGGTGACCTTCAGGGTGGGGATTTAAATGGGCCTGTCAGAGCCTGGCACTTTGGGGCCCAGGCACGCTGCACAAGGAGAGGGATCGGGACGCTTGCTAATGGGGCCATGGGTACAGCTGGCCCAGCAGCTGCTCCGCAGGGACACAGAGGCAACAACGGCCCATTGTTACTGCTGGAAACTCTACGCCTGCCCTCCCTGGCATCAGTGAACTCAGCCCATGCGTAGTAGTAACAGATCCTTGAGAGCTCAGCTTCCCCATTGTACCTCCCTGCCCTTTGCTCAGCAGCTGCACCCAAGGGGCAGTCTAAGGGAGCATCTACACTGCAACAGACATAGAATCCCAAACCTAGGCCTGGCAGGAACCTCGAGGGGTCACCTTGTCCAGTGCTGAGGCAGGACCAAGTAAACCTAGAACATCCCTGACAAGTGTTTGTCCAACCTGGTCTTAAAAACCTTCAAGGACAGGGATTCCACAACCTCCCTTGGAAACCTAGTCCAGAGCTTAATGATCCCTTTAGTTAGACAAGATTTCCTAATATCTAACCTAAATCTCCCTCGCTGCAGATGAAGCCCATTACTTCTCGTCCTGCCATCAGGGGACATAGACAACAATCCATCATCATCCTCTTTATAGCAGCCCGCAACATATTTGAAAACTGTTGTCAGCCTCCCCACCTCAGTCTTCTTCTAACCTTTCCACCTGCGTCAGTCTTTTTTTTAACCTTTCCACCTGCGTCAGGTTTTGTAAACTTTGGGACGTTTTTGTCGCTCTCCGCTGGAGTCTCTCCAATTTGGCCACCTCTTTCCTGACCGAGCCAGCACTAAAGCAGAGGATAGCCACACCTGGATGAGCGGCGGGGAGGGGGTGGGGGGGCTAGCTGGCCGGGTGCGATCCTGTCTAAGATCCTAGCTATGTACTCAGGAAAGCTCACCCCTCCCGCTGCTAGCTCTGCCATGGCTACTGTGCGGCGAATGGCACCTCCAGCTCCAGTGTAGACATACCTTAAGCCATCCTCGGAGCTGGCTGCTGCTCAGTTTGTAAGGAGTGCGTGACCTTTGCCAGGGGTGAGGGAGAGGACATTCTAGGATCTCTCTCCCGGGGGGGATTAATCTAGGATAGCCTCTCCTGGGGAAGATTCTAGGATAGTGTCTCCTGGGGGAGTTTTCAGGCTATGGATGGTTTCCAAAACTTGAAGGAAATTTTTAATTTTTTTTCTCAAATGTTTCCATCCAAAACCTGAAAAGCGCCATGGCAGATTCCAGCGGAAGAGAACATGTTGCTTCACTGGACAGGCTCGGTGGCTGGGAGCCCGGCAGCTCCGGGATGGACGGCAGCGGCTCCAGGAAGGCCGCACGCTGGGCTCTCACGGTTGAGGCAAAGGCACACAGACACTTACCCCTGAGCTTCCTCCTTCTTGCGACAGACACAGCAGCAGCAGAGCAGCGAGAGGAGGAGGATGAGCAGCAAAGCCAGCAGGGCCCCCGCTGCGATCACCCCCATCCGCTGATTGGCCTCTGAAAAGACACACAAGGCACTCCATTAACGCACTACCCTGGGGATGGGTGGAGAGCCAGCAGTCCATCCCAGTCATGTCCCAGATCCTATGGGCTGGCCAGTCGGAGTGGGGAAAGAGGGAGGGAAGGCACCTCCCCTGTTTCCTGCCCCTCCCCGCCAAACGCTTCAACACAGGCCACTCAGACGCCCTCACTGAGTCCAATCACCAGCACCCCCACCAAGCAGAGACCATGATAAAATCTCTCCCCAAATCTCCCCTTTGGGGGTGACAGTTCCTGAACTGTGTTGTGGCTCATCTCTGAATCCTCTGCATTTAGTCAACCTGTTTTTGAATGTTGACACCAGAACTGGATGCAGTGTTCAGTCATGGTCTCATCTAACCCATATGTCACCTCCCTGCTCCTACCCAAGCTTCCCTGAGAGTTCATAGGGCTGCCCCTAAGATCTGGGGATTGTCAGCAGAAGGACAGTAGTCAACACGTGTTTTTGAATGAGATTATGCAGACAAGGTTAAAGGGAGAAGGGGAGGCGACAACGAAGAGCTCTGGGGGACCCTCTGTGAAACCTGGGCAGGTAAGAAGAGGATCCTCCATCTGAAACCTTGACAGAGTGATGAGAAAGGGAGGAGGGGACCTGGGAGAGGCAAGAGGCTCCGAACCCGAGGGGCGCACCATTCCAAGAAGAGCAGCCTGGTTGATGGCATGGAAGGTGGCTGGCAGGTTGAGGGGGATGGAGCACTGGCTCTGGGTTTGGCCAGAGAGCAGTTTTAGTGGTGCACAGAGGGAGGATGCTGGATTGAAGATGGCATTGGAGGAGAGGAACTCCAAGCAGCAGGTTCAATGAGTTTCGAGATAAAAGGGAGACAGGAGACGGGGTGGCACTGGAGAGAAAGCATCTGGCACATTTCATGGGTCCCACAGGAAGACGAATAACTTTAAACCATCTGTGTAACCAGAGACGCAGGCATGAGCGGTGCTCCCGCTGTGCAATGAGGCTGGCGCTGCTGTCTGCACCGTACGGACTGGAATTTCCTGGCCCTGCAGGATTTCAGCTGGAGCGTTCCATGCATTTCACTTCCTAACGCCACAGAAGAGTCTCCAATCTAGTGGCTGCTGCCGGGCGTGGCTGTGATGTGGTGGGCCTGATTCCTGGGGAAGGCCTCACCACGCTTTGGGTGGATCCTGCTGGGGAGGAAGGAGGATGAAGGTGGAGCCAGCCAGGAGCCAGTTCCACTGCTGGCTCCCAAGGGGCCTTTCCAGCTGCAGGGAAGAGCCGGAGAGCAGCAATTCTCCAGCCATGGCCCTCACATTGGGGCTGGGGCTATGCAGAAAGACAGGAATCTCCCAGCCACTGGTGCAGGGGAGGCAGAATGTGGCTCTGCCGCCCTGGGCTAGCAGATCCCTGACACTCTGTGCGTAATGGTGCACTGTTCCTGCTCCTACGCTTCTCTCTGATGGTGTTCAGACTGGGCTCTGATGCTGCTCAACCCACGGCCGTCTTGATCTCTTGTCTCGGGTTCCCCAGTGTTGCTTGCAAGGCGGCTCAGCCAGGCTTCTTGGTCACTACCCCTTGGAGCATGGCCTCTCTCATCATTCTCTGGGGGTCCATCACGGGTTCCCCGTGCCTGAGCAAAAGTGAGATCTGGAGCCGTCTGGCCCAGCAGGGCTCAGTCCAACTGTGGCTTCTTTCAGTCTCCAAAGGGACTCTCACATGGGGCTTGAGGGAGACAGAAAAGCAGATCAGAGCAGGGAGCTGGAGCCAGAGGGCCCAGGTGACCAACAATGAGGATTTTCCAGCTTCCCGCCCCTGTGCAAGGAACCGCTCTGTGCAAATTCCAGACAGGATGGTCTGTGCCAACCACTGGACTGACCGGAGTTCCCCGGGGGAGACAGCAAACAGAGCTGCTATCTCAGAGATGGGAACAACCTGCCGATGGGAATGAGGGGGTGAGTAGGGCATTTGCTGGCAGAGCAGCACGGGGCCCGGCAACACCGAGGCCAATGGAGTCGCTAGACTGAACCTGGCGACTCTGGGAGAGGAGAGAGCAGGACACCCAGCCCGTGAGGAACTGGAGCTCAGCCCTGAGCCGTGAGGCCTCTCGGACAGCCAGCTGCACTCCCCCACACGTGCCGGCCCAAGCTGCCAGGAAAGAGGAACCACGGCCTACTGGCTCCTGGCATCCCCCATTCCTCACACCGGTGCCTGGATTTCACAGCTGGATGTGGGGGCTCAGGCAGGCCGCATGCCTCATCCCACGTCCCAGAGAGAATCAAAGGGAACGGCTCAGAGCTTGGCACAGCTGGCAGCCTCTGGCATGCAGAGCAGAGCAAGCAGCACCCCAGCGAGCTTGACTCCTCTAAAGGTGCCAGCATCCAGCACAAGGGGGCTGACCCCGAGCCCAGCCCCAAGCTCTCTGTGCAGAGGGCCAGGGGCCAGGAAGCCCCCTCCTGCCAGGGGATGCTCCTGCCTATCACACTCCTAATGGATTCAGTGCTGATGACAGGCAAAGTGCTGCACAAGGCACAAATAAAGAGGCCCCTGGTTAAAACTCAGCCAGCAGGTGACAGAGCAGGCTGGGGGACACAGGACAGTCTAGTCCCCTGCTCTCGCAGGCAGCACATCATAGACTCCCATTCGTAAACTTATCAAGCTCCATCTCAAAACCAAGTCAGTTTGCCCCACTCCTGGTGGGAGTCCCAGAACCCCGCTCCTCCCATAGTTAGAAACCTTCTAGTTTCCAGCCTCAATTTACCTGTGGCCAGTTTATCCCCATTTGTTCTTGGGCCAACACTGTCCTTTAGCTTCACTAGCTCTTCCCTCCCCCTGGTGTTTACCCCCCCCCACGTATTTACAAGAGCACTCAGATCCCCTCTCAGCCTGTGTTTTGCTAGGCTACACAACCAAACTCTTGTAGTCTCTTCTCATGTGCTAGGGGCTCCCTTCCCCTGCTCTGCCTCTGCTTCAGTTTGAATTCATCTCTCTTGAACGTGGCTTGTACCCCGTATTCCAGATGAGCTCTTCCCAGTGCCTTGTGCAATGGCGTTCATACCTCTAGGGGCAACTCCTCGCCTGATACATCCTATATCAGAGGGGGAGCCGTGTTAGTCTGGATCTGTAAAAAGCAACAGAGAGTCCTGTGGCACCTTGAAGACTAACAGATGTATTGGAGTATAAGCTTTCGTGGATCCATGCATCTGATGAAGTGGGCATTCACCCATGAAAGCTTATGCTCCAATACATCTGTTAGTCTTCAAGGTGCCACAGGACTCTCTGTTGCTTGATACATCCTAGAATTTCATCTGCCTTTTGCGCAGCCACATCACACTGGTGGCTCAGAGCCAGCCTGTGATGAATGAATGCACCCAGCTCTTTCGCGTTCTCTGTCGATGCCAACTGATAAGACCTCAGTTGACAGCAAAAATTCTTGTTACTAGTCCCTATGTGCACAAACGTGCACTTTATACTATTGAATTTCATCCCATTTCTACTACTCCAGTCCTCTAGGTCATCCAGTGCTCCCTGTATAATATTCCAGTTCTCTCCTGGCGCTTCCCAGTGTGCACACCTGTGCGGCGCAGAAGCAGGTGTGGAGGAGCAGAGCAGGGCACGGCACAAGGGAGGATGGTGGGAAAGGGCAGGGTCATGACAATTTGCTAACGTTGGGCAGGGCTGGCAGGGTGGGACAGGACGGCTCCATGGTGCAAGATGGGGGTATATGAACTGCCAGGGTGAGCCCATGCACGTGGCTTTCACTTCTGGTCACCCCTTCACTAGACAATTAAATAGTGTTTAAAGCTGATTTGTAACAGGCAGGTCGAGGTCAGGTGACACCAGGCAGCCAGACACAGCCATGGCACAGTCAGCATCATGCACACTAGTTGTGGATCCAAGCAGGGTCCACACATGCCCTGACCACTCGGCAGCATGTCCCACGGCTCCGCTGTTAAACACGTGTCAGTAAAACACCACTCCCTTGCTTAGCGAGGATGAACCGCTGTAGGTCTGAGTTCATGCTACAATACCCCCAGAGTCTGGCATAACCGGTCATTTCAATCACAGCAGATCCAGGACTAGGATAGCAGGTGCTTTGCAGGTCAGGACTGAGAGGTATTGAGAGTTGTGTGCATGGGAGGGAATAGAACTGGCCGAGCAGGAGGGCTGTAGGTCGGGATTGAGGGGCATCAGCAGAGCTCTGTGCATGTCTGAGGGTGCGCCCAGGACCAGAACAGCAGGGCACTGTGGCTTGAGATCTATGGGCAATGGTGGAACAATTGGGGAGAAGCTGCTGCAAAGCCAGGCTTAGTCCATACTGTTTATACACAATGCAATTAGACTGTTCCCTACATGAAAACTTCCTGTTGCTGTGGTCACTGCACACACCCCGGCAGCCTAAGCTGATAACATCTTCACTGCTGCTGGTCCTAACAGACTCGAAGCATCAGCAGGAAAGCGAGTCTAACACACTAAATGCATTCAAGAATCTATCGCTGCACCTGCTTCCTTGTCCGCCTGATTGTAGATCCTGGATCAGGCTCAACAGGCGACTCTCTGTCTCCACCAGAGCTGCGGCACCCTGCACCAGCTTGTCCTGGTTTCCTCCCCACACGGTGACGGTGGGGCAGCTTTGCAGACAATAAATCACGTGGTGGAAGAGTGCCCAACCTGACATCTGGAGAGCGGCCTACAATGCCTAGCCTCCCTGGACACAGTGGCCATCCTCTGGTTATGGAACCTGGACAATAGCCCTGAGGTCTGCACAGGAGAGAGACTGAAGGCCCTGGGGCGTGCCCCGTACTGGAAGTGTGCCGGAGCTCAGGCTGTGGCTCTAAGATGCACATACAGTGCTCGTCTGGTGCAGTGAGAACCTACCTGATCCAAGCCAACCAGTGGGGGGGGGGGGGGGGGGGGGGGGGCCCCCCCGGGCCGGGGGGGGGGGGGGGGGGGGGGGGCGGGGGGGCTCTCCTGGACAGCAGGTGGAGGAAGAGTTGGGGAACATCTCAATTATGTCTGGGGCAAGTGGGCCTGGCTCCTCTTAGCAACAGGATTGGGTGCAGTGGGTAAGGGCGGCTGGAGTGCCTGGGGAGAGAAGCACCGGGATAGCTGAAAGCCCCACCCCCACAGCTCCTATTTTCTAGATAATATAGCAGAAAGGGGCCCTGCTCGCCCCCATCCGACTCCACACCCAGACACAACTGCTGCACTCACCCATGTGGCAGGCTCCAGTCAGGGGGTCACATGTGTCATCATGGCAGCTGCAGGACTTGGCGCAGTTGACTCCGTACTGACCAGCTGGGCATGTCAGGTTACAGCTGGAGAGGGGAGAGAGAGTCCCACATCAGCAGTTCTGAGCCCCCCACTGGGCTCCCCACAGCCCCCTGGAGCCGTAACACCTGCCCTGGATCTCCGCCTGGGGGTGGAGCTGCGCTGGGAGGAAACTCCCGTATCCTGGTGGCTCAAATGACGTGTGCGGAACAAAGAAGTGGAGCTGCTCAGGGCTTCCCAGGAGCCCCAGCCATTCCCCCACTCCCCATTCCAGGCTTGAGCTGCGGGCTGGAAGGGACAGAGGGAGGAGCTATATGGTCACCACCGGCCAGACACACAAGCGTCTGCAGCAGCCTGGGGCAGGGGAGCAGAGGGCCACAGCCATGGAGGTTAGAGATGGGAAAGCCCTGCTAACTTCTGTGGCACCCACCCTGGGGGCCAATGAAGGAATAGCCCAGGGTAAATGAGGAATGGGAATACAGGCCTGGACTGAGATCCCAGCTCCTGCCACAATCGCTGGCATGGGCCAAGCCCACAGGCCACAACCCAACAGCCCTTAACATCTGGCATTTATCCACCAGAAGCTGTGCTCTGGACCCCTGCAGCAGTCCATGATGCCATCAGCACCCAAGGGACCATGGCTCCCCACGCTGTCCCAGGGGGCAGGACACCATCTGCCCTGGGAAGGAGCAGACACTTGAGGGCTGGAGCTGGGGCGTTGGCAGGTAGCTTCCATTGCCACTCCAGCCTGCAGCAACCACGTACCTCCCTCTAGCGGGAGATGATGGGGCTTTCCTGGGCTAGGGCTCTCTTAGACCAGTCGCTGGTGCTGGAAGAGCAAAGTGGGCAATGAGCCAGAAATAAGAGAAAAAGCATCACTCTGCAGGGCCTGGGACTGCATGGTCCCTCAGGGTGTTTCCCAATGCTTGGTCCTGCCTGTTCGTGCTGGGACGCCGTCACGTCCCTCAGGCGGCCAGGTCATGATGACCTGGGATCCTAGTTTTCCGTGATAAAAAACCCCAAATTCTCCTATAAAAAACCATAAAAATCTGTTTTTCTGTGATTAAAATGAAATGCTGAACTTTAGTTTTCCTAGCCACAATATATACAGTATCAGCTGAACGCGTTTTATTGATATATTTACAATTTTTAAGCAAGTTTGAAGCCTACCAGTGACACCAATCATTATAATACAATAAAATAGAATTGCAATTTGTATTTCTTCCAGATTCCAAATACTTCTGTCTGTAGTCTATATTTTCAGATTTTTTTTAAATGCACAAAAAATAAAGTGAAAATTGCTTTTATATTAACATTACTCACTTTCTGAGTTAGTCCTGGAGGCTGAAGTGAAATTTGAGATGCATTAAAACACGAACCCCTATATGCCATTGAGTAACCTCTCTACGCCGGAAACAGTTTATTGGAGTCTGTTTAGCGATGTAAATTTAATGGGCATTCAAAAATCAACCACAAGAGGGGGAGGTTGCGCACATTGAAGAAGTGACACTGGTACTTTCATTAAAATTTAGTTAATGGTTAATATATGTGTTTATTTTTTCACAAAAGGTAGAAACTAAAGGTTCTCTGTAAAAATGCAAATTCTGGGTTTTTCTGTGGCAAACGGATTTCTAGGATCCCTGCTGATGACACAAAGTTTGCTCTGGGATTTGGCCTAAACTGCCCCTTTCTCACTTTCATCTCATTTCTATTATAGGCTGACCCTCTCAGAGCAGCCTGTATGCCCCCGCTGTGCCCTCAGCTATGCCACCTGCTGAGTGGTATCCTGCCCCTGTAGGAACTACTCATTCATAGCTCGCTGTTTAATCTCCCCTCACAAATCGCCAGCTTTCTGGTCCTTCCTTGCTTTCTTCTGAGCTTCCTCCAGCCTTCAGGGTTGTTCTGGTAACCAAGTGCCAGCACTGAAGATAAAGTGCCAGGTGCAGTCACCCCGGAGTCTCACACAGCCAACCCCCCCCCCCACACACACACCCCACTGTGCAGCCCCAAATCACACGAGCCCTGCTTGCTGAACAGCTCCCAGTTTACTGATCCCCTGCCAATGCACGAATGTGCTGGTTACTGTCACTGCTGATCATGACCGAAGGTGCTGTGAGAATGGAGTTCACACAGATCCCTGCCTCACTCTACTAGGCACCAGCCCCCAGCCTGGGGCATCACAGCTCTCCAGAACTAGGACCGCAGCAGCGGGATGGGCTGCACAGCTGAGCAATGTGCAGCTGAGGCAGGAGACCAGTGAGTGTGTAGAAGGGGGTCCAAGGGGGGCACAGGCAGGGGTACGTAGGGGGCTGTGGTGAGGGGAAAGGGTTGCAGGGGGCTAGGGCTGTGGGGGACGCAGGGAGGAATGTGCAGGGGGCTGAGGAGGGGGGTGCAGCTGGTGCATGGGAGACAGACTCTAGGTGGGGGGCTGGGTGCAAGGGGGGCAGTCCCTGGGTGGGGGCTGGCTGCCAGCGAGGGCAGTCCTGGCTGGGGACGTTCTGCCCTTGACAAGGCCCCCTGTCCCTGCAGGGCAGGCAGATGTGCCAGCCCAGCGTTGGGGGTTCCTGGGTGCTGGGGGGATAATCGCTGTGGGGTTGGGTGAAGGGGGCATTCCCGGCCTGGAGGGGCAGTCCCCAGCTGGGCTCCCAGGCTCCACAGCTGCGCTGTCCAGACGCTCAGCCCAGTGTTGAAAGGAAAGGTACCAGCTCGGTTTGAACCCTAGTGCTGTCATATAACACACACAAAACAGGCTTTCTTCTGTAGATACACAGGTAGTATATCTATTGTGTGGATGCAGCCCACATAACACATAGAGAGCTGCATAGGCAGCCCACAATGGTAAATAGGGCGAGAACAACTGCTTCAGAGGAAGGAAATAAAAGACAACAATCGCAGAATACGGGGGGGAAGAGGGGCGGGAGAAATCCCTTCCTGAACCCTGCTGGTTGGGGCTGAAACCCTGAAGCATGAGCTTTAGGAACATAATAAGGCATGCTGAGCCCTGCCCCCCACCATCACAAGCAACCCCATCATACAATCCCACTCCTACATTTGTCCAGCTCTCTCTTAAACCAAGTAAGTTGTTTGTCCCCCACTGTTCCTTGTGGGAGGCTGTTCCAGAACCTCACCCCTCTGATGGTCAGAAACCTTCTTCTAATTTCCAGCCTGAATTTGGCCCTGGCTGGTTTATCGCCATTTGTTCTTGTGCCAATACTGACCTTTAGCTTCGATAGCTCTTCTCTCCTCCTGGTGTTTACCCCCCGACGTATTTATCGGGAGCAGTCAGGTCCCTTCTCAGCCTTCATTTTGCTAGGCTAAATAAAAGCAAAGCTCTTCCAGTCTCCTCCACTCCCTTCATCATCCTACTAGATCTTCTCTGCTCCTGTTTCAATTTGAATTCATCGTTCTCAAACACAGGTGACCAGAGATGTAAAGAGTATTTCAGAGGAGGTCTTACCCATGCTTTGTACAGTGGTATTAATACTTCCCTCTCTCTGCTGGAAATGCCGCGCCTGATCGAGCGTTGTGAACGTTCTGTTCCCATATGTCCAAGTTCCTGGAGTGCTCACTAAAGCGCTGGGGGCATTCAGGGAGCTGGGGCCACAACATGTGGGCTGGACCCACGGCTCCTTGGCTGATAAAATCTGGTGGGGAGACCCAGTGTTGGCTTTGTCATCTGTTGAGCTGGCCAATGTCTCCCCTTAGGTCTGCCTCCAGCCATGCAATTAAGCATGTAAGGAATCCCACTGAAGTCAATGGGACTAGTCAACCCATTCTCAGCATACTCCTGCCTTTGGAAATGGTTTGGTGATTGCTCAACTGGGGCCACAGTGATGAAACAAACCCAATTTTTTCAATCTTCCCTCATAGGTCATGTTTTTTAGACCTTTAATCATTTTTGTTGCTTTTCTCTGGACTTTCTCCA